TAATTTTTTTTTTATCTAAGTGATCATCATTTGTAGACACATTCAAATTACTTTAGCAATAATGCTCAATGTTTATATAGAATTATAAGATATTCGAGGCAAATAATTGAGTTGTTTCCAAAATTGTGAAGTTCTCAAAGCTGAAAAACTTGCTATTTTTCTTCATTGAGGAAATATATAAGACTTCAATTGTTATTTATGTCTTTCTACAAATAATACATTAAAAATAAAAATATTTATAACAGAGAAATATATAAAATGTATAATGAAGCTCATTTAAATGTAAGAATTACACTCATTTATTACTTTATTCTTTATTTCTTATTTTTAAAATTTCAATATAATTATACTTATATATCATCTTCACAATAAAATAAATGAGAATAAACAGTCTGCTGTTAGTTGGCATGGAAAGTATGAACATTTTAAAAATCATTTATTAAAATGAAAGTTCCTGAATAATCCTAAATAAAAGAAAAACAAGGAAGAAAATTTAAATTCTTTTTCTAGTAATATGTTCTACTGATAAATAATGAAATGAATTCATTTAGATATTTTTCTATGTATACCAGAAAGATCATATTGTTGGAAGTTCATCAGGAGAATACAAATATATTATCTGATCTCACATGAAAAATAAAATTATAACAACTGTTCATATTACTTATACCAAAATAATAATTTGCTAAATTCATGCTATCATCATAATAACCATCATTTCTACCAAGAATGTTTCTTAATAAGTGAGAATCAAATGGATATATTTAGAATTGTATTGGGGGAAATTTTTCTTGGCATATTTAATTTTTATAAATTAATTAATTTTCATTTGCTATACTATAAGAATTCAGTTTCATTGGAAAGGGAATTTTTAAATTTAGCTTTATCTAAAATTGAGACAATTTTCAAAATATTTTGGGCCAAAGTGAATTTAAATAGAAATACTTCAACATTACCCAAAAAGGCAGTTTCACAAGGTCTGAGGCAAATTTAATTATTCCTGTGCTTTCCAAAGTGGGAAACATCTACAAAAATCTGCAGTATTAATAGATGTTGAACAGAAGGGATTTTAAAAAAGGGTGTGTATAAACAGTTTTCCCTGAAATCTCAGCTCCTCTAATATCCACATAGAAGTTGTCAATCTATGTATTAAATATGCAGACATATATGTCAAAATACAGCTCCAAAATAAAAGTGCCAACTAAGCAAAGGAAAAAAAAATATGAACTAAAAGAAACAGGTGGGAAAACATAAGGCACTTGTTAAAAACTGTAGGAAAATTCTGGAGTTCCAGGGGAAAAATCTGGAATTAGAGGCAAGAACCAGATTGTTGAAGTCTTGAGTGACAGGCTAAACAGTTCAGACTTTTAAAAATAAATCAGTCATCTATCATTGATGAGTTTTAGGAGGGAAGTGGCACTTGGGGAAGACTAATCTAGACACATTAAGGCTGTAATGGTGCAAATACTGAAGATAGGGAGTCCAGATGGACACTCCAGCAGTGCTTCAAATGTAAAATGAAATGAAAATGGCAAAGATGAGAAGCCGGTGAAGAAATGAGTACAAAACTACCTGGCAAAAGAAGAAGAAAAAGAGTATAGGGTATGGTTTTGAAGGCTTCTAAAGGTATCTCCATGACAGATGGAAGCTTTAGTGTTCACTGTGAGTCCTTTGCACCTCTGTAAAACATACTTTGTTACTGCCCCAGGTCTTGGTGTGGTGTAGGAGCTTCACCACATGACTAACTTCACTTTTCAAATTCAGATCATTTCTTTACCTTCCTTCTGAAGTTAGTTATGTATGGTTACTTAATTTTTCTGAAATTATGTAACTTTGTGAAAGTTGGGAACAAACTCATCCATTTTCACAACTAACACAGTATAGAAATATGGAGACCAGATAACAAAGGTAAACCTCTTTAGAACTGGTGCAAGGAGAGGCAGGAAAAATCAAAAAGAGCATTTTAAGAAAGAATCAGTTGGAGCTCAGATCTAAACACAGTAGAACATGGAGAATCGTGGCCACTGTTTGTAGAAGGACCATGCCGAGGAGAGGCACAGTGTCATCTACAGATAAACAGAAGTAGATGTACAGATGGAATGGGATTGAAAGAAGTTGCATTATCATCTTAACTGGAAGCCAGGGGATATATGATTGAGCAAAGTGCTAAAAATTGAGGTCAATTAAGCAGAATTCCAAGTAACAAAGAATACTGTGCCCTGCAGACCTAGTTTGAATGACTTGTCCCTGGTAATTCATAATGTTCTACAGTTCTCATAAGGTTTATACTGCCCTCCTATTTCCTCACCTGAACTCTGTTTCTTCTATGAAGAATGACATCCCATCTTTAGCACTCAATTTCAACATATATTTTTGTGTATGTGCACATAACAAGAAAAACATAGATCAAGATAAAATAACACTATTCCATGTGACCTTCTTGAATACTTTATTTTTCTAAATCCATAGAGTATTTTTTTCCTAATGTGTACCCTGAAGTTCAACTGCACAAAATCCCTTAGGGTATAACATTAATGAAAATTTCATCTTTATAAATACTTTCTATATAATGAATAAAGGCATTATAGAATTAGGAATATCCTTTTCAACTCTAAATGAGGTAGTTTACTTCATCAAATGATCATGGTTAGACAACCACTCATAAAATATACTGGTGAGTATTTAATGATGACTAGATCCACCTGATTTTACGTCAACACACAGATTAAGCTTAAGGCTATATGATGCCACACAACCAAATATCATCTACTTTATTATGATAGGACACTGCCCCCTTTATAAGATATTTCTGCTTAAAAAAAAACACGGAAATCTGAATTTCAGCATATCTCTATCTATAGCCACCAGCTTGAAGGAAACATTGAAAATCATGTAAAGTATGTGGAACCGTGTAAAGAATGTAAAGAATATGGAAGGTCTGCAAAATCTTGAATGTACAAATGAAATTTCAAAGGGTAATTTTTTTTTTGGGGGGGACCAGGAATTGAACTCAGGCCCTTACACTTGCCAGGGAAGTGTTTATTCCACTGAGCCATCTCTCAAGTTCACACCCCCACTTTTTTTTTTTTTTTTTTTTGGTGGAACCAGGAATTGAACTCAGCCACTTGCACTTGCCAGGCAAGTACTTATTCTACTGAGCTATCTCCCAAGCCCTCAAGGAGTAAAATTATAAGGAGGGAATCCTACAGGTGAAAATACATTTAAAGAAATTTAAAGGCCTGTCAGCATTCCTGTCGCAGATTTTAGGATACTGATTTCCAGGAACACAAATTTACACATCATTTATGAGGCAATTAGACAACCAAGCTCACTCACTGATATTTAGAAGTTAGTATTAAGTTTTAAGTGTGATAATAGTTATGGTGTTAGGCATCATTATACATAGTGAAATGCTTTGAGATGTAGCATGGTGTGTAAAATTTGATTCAAAGTAGATTAGCATCAGTAAAGGTAGGATTGTAAATTAGTGGTATTAATGAAATGAGGTTATTATTGAAGTTGGGTGACAAACAAATAGTTCATTTTTATTGCTAAAACTTTCTTTTTTGTCATTGTGAAATATAAGTTATTGGGCCATTGCTCAGAATTACTGAATGAGAATATTTATTTAGTTTCTAGGAATTTATATTACTAAAATCTTACAAGGTAATTATTTCCCACATCAAGATTTGGCACTTACAGTCCTAAAATGATTTACCTTGTGCTCTTTCCCTTGTCAGAGAAATGTAGCAAAATATACATACATGCTTCTTTTTAAGTATAGAAGCTGTGTCTTCAGAAGCCCTATTTTTTCTAAGCTCGTGAATTCAGTACACTTTTGATACATATAAACGATGTTAGATGAAGTACTTTTGTTCACTATGAATACATATTTTAGAGACAGACTACACAAAATTTACCTACAGATTCCATTGCTTCAGGTCCATTTGGCAGCAGAAGTTTGTACCTGCTCAAAATTCTGAGCAATAATATACCTAAATAGAATTTCTTTCTTACTCAGTAAGATTTAGCACTCCTAATGCTACAATGTCAATGTGTCTATACCTCAAAGAGCAAGGATAACATCCAACAGGATAGGAACAATGGCTTCCTCATTACCAGGCAAATAAGTTGAATTAGAAGCCTTGCATAGAATATTCACAATGCTGACACATACATACAGCAATATCTCAGTTCACAAGAAGCTTCTTTTCACAAACAATTCACAACAAAGGTGTTTGACAAGACTTTGCTTCCTTTTGCGAATTCGGCCTCTAGTGATGAACATGACTGTAGTTATATTCCTCAGAACAATAGAAGAAATTAAGTTCATGAACTGAGGTACCAAGCCATGTAAATTGAATTTCTTAAAAAATTAAGCGAAATGTTTCCCTTCAGTATATTTAATTTTACTTGCTTGAATTTTTGTTTTAAATGATTCATTTATTAAGTATAAACTTTCTTAGCAAAATGTAACTTTTTATTAAGAATTATTTTACCAAAAGCCCAAAATAGAAATTTTCTATTTCTTGGGATTCCTGATAGAACAGAAATGTCTATCACACACTCTATCCTAGCACTAGTCAAAGCTTCTAGCTTTACCACTACTTGTTGATGATTTAGAATATGACATTATTTTTACTGGTTCTCAGTTTCACCATATATATA